CCAACCCTCTGGCCAGATCCACTTCCTATTCATTATTCCTATTATTTTATTACTAGTTTGATTCCATCTTATTATTGATGCTTTTATCCCAACCCTCTGGCCAGATCCACTCTTCATTATTCCTATTATTTTATTACTAGTTTCATTCCATCTTATTATTGATGCTTTTTTATCCCAACCCTCTGACAGATCCACTTCTTCATTATTCCTATTATTTTATTACTAGTTTGATTCCATCTTATTATTGATGCTTTTTATCCCAACCCTCTGGCCAGATCCACTCTTCATTATTCCTATTATTTTTTATTACTAGTTTGATTCCATCTTATTATTGATGCTTTTTATCCCAACCCTCTGGCCAGATCCACTCTTCATTATTCCTATTATTTTTTTATTACTAGTTTGATTCCATCTTATTATTGATGCTTTTTATCCCAACCCTCTGGCCAGATCCACTCTTCATTATTCCTATTATTTTATTACTAGTTTCATTCCATCTTTATTGATTTTTTATCCCAACCTGCCAGATTTTTTTCATTATTCCCAACCCCATCTTATTATTGATGCTTTTTATCCCTACCCTCTGATCCACTCTTCATTATTCCTATTATTTTATTACTAGTTTCATTCCATCTTATTATTGATGCTTTTTATCCCAACCCTCTGGCCAGATCCACTCTTCATTATTCCTATTATTTTATTACTAGTTTTCATTCCATCTTATTATTGATGCTTTTTTATCCCAACCCTCTGGCCAGATCCACTTTTCATTATTCCTATTATTTTATTACTAGTTTCATTCCATCTTATTATTGATGCTTTTTATCCCAACCCTCTGGCCAGATCCACTCTTCATTATTCCTATTATTTTATTACTAGTTTCATTCCATCTTATTATTGATGCTTTTTATCCCAACCCTCTGGCCAGATCCATTTCATTATTCCTATTATTTTATTACTAGTTTCATTCCATCTTATTATTGATGCTTTTTTATCCCAACCCTCTGGCCAGATCCACTCTTCATTATTCCTATTATTTTATTACTAGTTTCATTCCATCTTATTATTGATGCTTTTTATCCCAACCCTCTGGCCAGATCCACTCTTCATTATTCCTATTATTTTATTACTAGTTTTATTCCATCTTATTATTGATGCTTTTTATCCCAACCCTTCCATCTTCATTATTCCTATTATTTTATTACTTTTTATCCCAACTTTTTATACCAACCCTCTGGCCAGATCCACTCTTCATTATTCCTATTATATTATTACTAGTTTCATTCCATCTTATTATTGATGCTTTTTATCCCAACCCTCTGGCCAGATCCACTCTTCATTATTCCTATTATTTTATTACTAGTTTCATTCCATCTTATTATTGATGCTTTTTTTATCCCCACCCTCTGGCCACATCCAATTTTCATTATTCCTATTATTTTATTACTTCTTTCATTCCATCTTATTATTGATGCTTTTTATCCCAACCCTCTGGCCAGATCCACTCTTCATTATTCCTATTATTTTATTACTAGTTTCATTCCATCTTATTATTGATGCTTTTTATCCCAACCCTCTGGCCAGATCCACTCTTCATTATTCCTATTATTTTATTACTAGTTTCATTCCATCTTATTATTGATGCTTTTATCCCAACCTCTGGCCTTAGATCCTTTTTTATCCCAACCCTCTTCATTATTCCTATTATTTTATTACTAGTTTCATTCCATCTTATTATTGATGCTTTTATCCCAACCCTCTGGCCAGATCCACTCTTCATTATTCCTATTATTTTATTACTAGTTTCATTCCATCTTATTATTGATGCTTTTTCCCTACCTCCCAATTATTCCCTCTGGCCAGATCCACTCTTCATTATTCCTATTATTTTATTACTAGTTTCATTCCATCTTATTATTGATGCTTTTTATCCCAACCTCTGGCCAGATCCACTCTTCATTATTTTATTACCTTCCATTATTTTGATTTTTACCCAACCTCTGTTTCATTCCATTATTTTTATTGATGCTTTTTATCCCAACCTCTTCATTATTCCTATTATTTTATTACAGTTTGATCCATCTTATTCATTATTCCTATTATTTTATTACTAGTTTCATTCCATCTTATTATTGATGCTTTTTATCCCCACCCTCTGGCCAGATCCACTCTTCATTATTCCTATTATTTTATTACAAGTTTCATTCCATCTTATTATTGATTTTTTATCCCAACCCTCTGGCCAGATCCACTCTTCATTATTCCTATTATTTTATTACTAGTTTCATTCCATCTTATTATTGATGCTTTTTATCCCAACCCTCTGGCCAGATCCACTCTTCATTATTCCTATTATTTTATTACTAGTTTCATTCCATCTTATTATTGATGCTTTTTATCCCAACCCTCTGGACAGATCCACTCTTCATTATTCCTATTATTTTATTACTAGTTTCATTCCATCTTATTATTGATGCTTTTTATCCCAACCTCTGGCCAGATCCACTCTTCATTATTCCTATATTATTTTTTCATTACTAGTTTCATTCCATCTTATTATTGATGCTTTTTATCCCAACCCTCTGGCCAGATCCACTCTTCATTATTCCTATTATTTTATTATTATTCCATATTATTGTTTTTTTTTATCCCATTGGCCAGATCTTATTATTGATTCCATCTTATTATTGATGCTTTTTATCCCAACCCTCTGGCCAGATCCATTCTTCATTATTCCTATTATTTTTTTTACTAGTTTCATTCCATCTTATTATTGATGCTTTTTATCCCCACCCTCTGGCCAGATCCACTCTTCATTATTCCTATTATTTTATTACTAGTTTCATTCATCTTATTATTGATGCTTTTTATCCCAATCCTCTGGCCAGATCCACTTTCATTATTCCTATTATTTTATTACTAGTTTCATTCCATCTTATTATTGATGCTTTTTTATCCCAACCCTCTGGCCAGATCCACTCTTCATTATTCCTATTATTTTATTACTAGTTTCATTCCATCTTATTATTGATGCTTTTTATCCCAACCTCTGGCCAGATCCACTCTTCATTATTCCTATTATTTTATTACTAGTTTCATTCCATCTTATTATTGATGCTTTTTTTATCCCAACCCTCTGGCCCACTCTTCATTATTCCTATTATTTTTTTATTACTAGTTTCATTCCATCTTATTATTGATGCTTTTTATCCCAACCCTCTGGCCAGATCCACTACATTATTCCTTTATTTTATTACTAGTTTCATTCCATCTTATTATTGATGCTTTTTTCCCAATCCTCTGGCCAGATCCACTCTTCATTATTCCTATTATTTTATTACTAGTTTCATTCCATCTTATTATTGATGCTTTTTATCCCAACCCTCTGGCCAGATCCACTCTTCATTATTCCTATTATTTTATTACTAGTTTCATTCCATCTTATTATTGATCCTTTTTATCCCAACCCTCTGGCCAGATCCACTCTTCATTATTCCTATTATTTTATTACTAGTTTCATTCCATCTTATTATTGATCCTTTTTATCCCAACCCTCTGGCCAGATCCACTCTTCATTATTCCTATTATTTTATTACTAGTTTCATTCCATCTTATTATTGATGCTTTTTATCCCAACCCTCTGGCTTTTTTATCCCTAATTCCATCTTATTATTGATGCTTTTTATCCAACCTCCACCTCTTCATTATTCCTATTATTTTATTACTAGTTTCATTCCATCTTATTATTGATCCTTTTTATCCCAACCCTCTGGCCAGATCCACTCTTCATTATTCCTATTATTTTATTACTAGTTTCATTCCATCTTATTATTGATGCTTTTTTATCCCAATCCTCTGTCCACTTTCATTATTCCATCTCTTATTATTGATGCTTTTTATCCCAACCTCTGGCCAGATCCACTTCATTATTCCTTTACTAGTTTCATTCCATCTTATTATTGATGCTTTTATCCCAACCTCTGGCCAGATCCACTCTTCATTATTCCTATTATTTTATTACTAGTTTCATTCCATCTTATTATTGATCCCCAACCCTCTGGCCAGATCATCTTCATATTCCTATTATTTTATTACTAGTTTCATTCCATCTTATTATTGATGCTTTTATCCCAACCCTCTGGCCAGATCCACTCTTCATTATTCCTATTATTTTATTACTAGTTTCATTCCATCTTATTATTGATGCTTTTATCCCAACCCTCTGGCCAGATCCACTCTTCATTATTCCTATTATTTTATTACTAGTTTCATTCCATCTTATTATTGATGGCCAGATCCACTCTTTCATTATTCCTATTATTTTATTACTAGTTTCATTCCATCTTTTATTGATGCTTTTTATCCCAACCCTCTGGCCAGATCCACTCTTCATTATTCCTATTATTTTATTACTAGTTTCATTCCATCTTATTATTGATGCTTTTCATTATCCCAACCCATTCCATCTGGCCAGATCCACTCTTCATTATTCCTATTATTTTATTACTAGTTTCATTCCATCTTATTATTGATGCTTTTTATCCCAACCCTCTGGCCAGATCCACTCTTCATTATTCCTATTATTTTATTACTAGTTTCATTCCATCTTATTATTGATCCTTTTTATCCCAACCCTCTGGCCAGATCCACTTTCATTATTCCTATTATTTTATTACCATTCCATCTTATTATTGATGTTTTTTATTCCAACCTCTGGCCAGATCCACTCATTATTCCTATTATTTTATTACTAGTTTCATTCCATCTTATTATTGATGCTTTTTATTATAATCATCTGGCCAGATCCACTCTTCATTATGACAATTATTTAATTACTAGTTTCCTTACTTAAAAGACCTTGAAAAACTTTGTGACAAGTGACTTGAACTGTTGGATCGATATAATGAATAGCATGTATTTTTCTTAGTTTTATGACATTTTTCCTGGTTATACTTGGGTTACTCGTGATCAGGACGTTGAGAGATATAGTTATTGTTTACCTGGATTTCTTTGGTTGCACTGAACATTTCTGCTAAACACAGGAAGGTCTTGTCTGCCAGGTAAACACAAGCAGGCCACACATATTCTGGGTCAAAGTCCTGTAAGTCTTTTAGTTGCTTTAAAATCTGATATTTGGCCCCATAACGGGTCACGCCATAAACCGTTGTCATCACAGTCTGTTTAATGATCTACAAAAGAAAATGGCTTATTATAATTGTAATTCAAAGTACAGAAAAATTGTCTATCAGAGTGAAAAGAAAAAAATCCAGATTTGTCAATGACAATTTGGCAGAGTTTCATGTAACATCTTCAACATGCTGACTGTGTATTTAATAATGTTTTTATGACACAATATTGCAGGCGGATAAAAAGCAAAAGACTAGAGTCTTGTTGCTTTTTATCTGCATGCAATTTATTCTACTTTAGCAGTTGTGAATAAAAGTTTGACGTTCACCTTTTGGATTTTCTTCAATTGGAAACATACCACTGTTTTTATTTTTTTCCGTCATATTAAACATTAACATATTAAAGGATTAAACAGAGATTTGGGTTTACTCAGAGAATATAGTTTGCCACAGAGAGTTTTCTATGAACCTTAACCTACCCTAATTTTGACAAACTACTAGGTCAAAATCAAATTTCTTACAGAAATACAACACATGAAAAAACAAAAATAAAATAAAACATTCCCCAGAAGAATAAGTCCCATTTCTTTGTTTATTTCTAGTCTTGTTGAAAAAGGACACAAGTGTGGCCGAAAATTCCAACTTTAAAATCTTTCTGTTCATGCTTCAATTTAGTCAGAAGGTTAATATATAATAAATATCATCAATCATATTGCCAATATTGTTAACATTTTATTCCCCATATTTCAGTAACTGGCCTATATATATATATATATATATATATATATATATATATTGTCATATATGAATGAAAAGTGTCACTGCTGACACCGGAGTTTGAACATGAATCTCTAGACAATGAAAATATAGACTGCCATTTACTATAAATAGAGATATCATGCCACTGATTGCTGGTTACAATTACGTGTTTCACTAGTCTTTGGTGTTATGAAGCTGTTTATTAACCTCCTTCTCACACTGCTCCACACATAATAGTCTAGTGGATTGAGATCTGGAGAGTTAGGAGGACAAATGTTGGGTGTGATGCGGTCGTACAAATAGTCAACCATCTATTCTTGTGTTCGTAGAGCCTTTTGGGATGGAGCTGAGTCTTGCTGGAATATGTAAGGCCTTCCGTTGTCAATCCAGGGCTTGACAACTGTTTCTAGAACCTCAATGTAAGCAGCAGCATTTACTCTAAGACCTTGTGGAAAAAAGTATGGTGGCATAACATGTCCTTCATTGCTAACAACACCCAATACCATAACACTTGAAGGAAATTTTGTGCGCATCACTCTTGGCATCTCAGAAGGATCTGAACAAAGCCGTCTGTCATTTCTTCTGTTAAGTTTTTGATCTTGATCAAAATTTTTCTCATTTGAGAAAAACGAAATCACACCAGCTTCTGAAGGATCTTAAAGTTTGTTTAAAAGTCTTTTGGATCTGTTTAAAAGGTGTTCTTTTGTTTTTTCAGACACAAATTGACCTCTCTTCATCACGGAGGACTTGTATCAAACGTCTTCACGAACACTCCTGATTTTTTTTTAAAACACATGCAGCTTTTTTGGCAATTGACCTCATTGATTGACCTCGGTTTTCATCAATTGTCTGCTTGACTACCTGAATAAATTCGGATGTTCTCACTTTATCAGAACATGCAGAATGTCTTTTACGTTGTGATACAGACATTGGGGAACTGTCAGTGTCTTTTAACTCTTTTCGCATCTTGTAGACAAACGATCTTGCAACTCTGAGGTAACGTGCAATATCCAAATTGCTATCAGTTACAAGTGTTTACCCACCGTCCAAGTGGTGGTTGAACATTAAGTCATTTTTCTCTACCACCGGTAAAGTGATGGTCAGGGCTCAAAGGGTTAATATGCAGTAATCTTGGGGGGATCAGTTTAGTACTCAATGACAATAGGAAACCAATCTCCCACTTTATATCCAATAGAATCTTATATGAATGTCAATACAAGTTACAAGTGTCTACCCACCATTCACCCGGTAGCTGGGCATTATGTCATTTTTCTCTTTTTAAAGCGGTGATCAGGGCTCAAAGGGTTAATGTAGCCTTATTTCATGTTTATTTTATGTTTGTATTTCTTCATGTAAAATCCTTTCAGCACGTTGAAAGGTTGACAATAGCAAAAAAATTAGATTATTTATTGCAAAAAATTTAAAACCACTAACCTTATAGTTAAAAATAATAATTCACCTCTTAGAACAAAATTAAATAGGACAAATATTATTTACGAATTTAAATGTCCATTAAGGAATTGTATTCCTGATCAAACAAAATTCATAAATAATTATATAGGCCACACTACAACATGTTTGACACGCAGACTCACTCTACACCTTTCTGACCATAGCTCAATTAGATCTCATTTAAATATTCATGAAAACCTACCGGACACTATTTGTAACATACTTGTTGACAACACTAATATAATAGCATCATCTACATGCAAAAAAAGGGTAAAAATAATGGAAGCCTTATTAATAAAAACAAACAAACAACAACACTTAATAATATTAACTATGAAGATCACATGAGAAATTGTATAAAAAAACTAAATCAAAACACCTTGTCTGTCATATTCAATGAAATATATATATGTGTGTGTGTGTGTGTGTGTGTGTGTGTTGGGCGTACAAGTTGTATAATGGATAATGACTTGGAATGAAAAATAGAAAAGCAGAGTTTGAATTCCAGCCAAGTTTATTGCATCAGTCAGAAACTGTACTCTGACAATTATCAGAGATTTCAGGAAATGTCATAGACTGACCTTTCTCTTGACAAAACCTTCCAATTTCTGTGCTATCAAAATTCCATTCTTGGCATCTTTGGCTCTTTCGCATTCAACCTTAAAACCAAAAGAAAAAAATAAAGATTGTCATTTAGAATATATAACCCACAAATATGTAATTTGACTTGGAAAATACAAACCATTCACCAAGAGAAAGAGTTAAAGCTAAATCAAAGGATTTGCATGAATTTGATACTTGTAAATGAATATGGCCAAGACCACCAGTGGTCTCAATATGGCCTTTACAATTTGAGCGGCAGGGGGTGGGGGGTGTTGGTGGCATTTGGGGTGCTGTATTACCAAAGTTTATTTGAAATGTTGATATTCTGTGTCAAAATGGTGGAAGGATGGTGAAACTGAGGTCATATTTTGTTTTTGCTGGCCTTTTTATACATTTATCTTTCAAGCAAAAAAAAAAAAAGTAATCTTAATTCACATGTAATCACTTTGAAAGGACTCTCCAAAGTGTTACTATAGTATGATATCTACCATCTATTTTCTACTATACTGTGATATCTACTATTTATTTTCTACGATGATATGATATTTAACAACTGTTGGAAATATGAAATATATTAGGGTTAGAGTTTAGAGGTTAGGGTTAAAGGCAGTGAACAGTGAACTGTATTTTTTTTTTTTTTTAGCATTTCACCCCTAGCAAGGCGGGAAGCCACTAGCATGCAAGGGGTTATAGAGGATTTGGAGCAAGAGCAGGTAGGAATGATAGAGGATAGATCAAGGCAACTGGAGATGTCGATTGATATTACATTTGAACAGTTGGAGATTATAGTTATCAGGGAAACAGGAATAGGGAAGGGAGTTTCACAGGCGAGAGGTGCGAGATATGAAGCTATTGGAATAGAAGAGGCGGCTACATTTAACAGTTTCAACAGTGAAAGGGTGAGAGCGGGATGCCAGCCTCGTAGGACGCTTGAATTTGCAAAGTCTGGGAACCAGCGAAAGCAGCTCATCGGAGCAGTTACCATGAAAGTATTTGTAAAAAAGACAGAGAGAGGCGATGACGCGTCTGTGAGAAAGTGACTGCAGACGAGATGTCAGATCATGGCGCAGTATGTGTGATAGACAACAATAATCACTTCTTTTATAATGCAGTGTTAAAATAACTAAGGGAAATAATCACACATTAATTTACTAAAAAAGCTGAGTTACCTCTCTTACTGCTATATTCCTATGTGGGAATAAATATTTAACTTCTATCAGAAATGGCTTCAGTGACCTTATGTTTTTAACCTTTCATCAATTTTCCAGGGTCATAACCATGGTTGAAATCCATCCAGTAGTTTCTGAGTCTGTAATGGTCTGGCTTGTTTTATGGCATATCAACATCTCAATGGGTTGTTTAATGCCGACAAAATTTTTTTATTGCTGGTAATATATTTTTTTTTCAAAACTGTATTGCCGGTAATATATTTTTTCCTTCAAAAAATCTATTTCTGGTAATATTTTTTCTTCAAAAATTTATTGCTGGTAATAATTTTTTACAAAGTACTTTTGGTATTAAAACCTATCTTTACACTTTAATAGTGTTTTGACCCCAGGGTTAACTATTTGCCCATAGCTGGGACCCTAACAGATGCTACTACCCCTGGTCAGGGTGGATTTGGGAACACCAGCAATTAAGAGGTGGTTCTATGCTCCTCAAAACCTCCTCATCAGAGGCCTTGCTGGTGGATGTAGCTTATTGTCATACCCAGGATGGTGAGTCTATGATGGACAGAAAGACAGTAAAGAAGAAAATAGTGACGTACCCCAAAAGCCAAAACACTTTCATGTCCCAGGTTGGTTTTGCAGAAGAAAAAAGAAAGAAAGAGAGTAATGTTTCACCACTGAGTGAGGCCAGCGAACTCAAGTAAATTAGTTTTACTAATCAATTGTGATTCAAGTTTTACTGAGTGAAATGGATTGCATAGAAAAATATGCCAATCGATTTCCATGCTCCATGAATCAAAAACCTGATAAGAGTCCACCAAACTGTTTTAAAAGCAACTAACTTTTCCTACAAAAACAGATTTTTTCAAAAAGGCTGTGTGTGTGCACATGGAGATTTGGACTTTGTGAACTTTTATTATACACAGACAAACATTTCATGTTATTTGTATAGATGATGAGAAAAGGAAATTTCTCAACTTACCAACTCACATACGTCACTGTAGACATCCTGTGGCTGATCTGATGGACTAAGGTTAACAGATTCAGCCCCTGCCTGATCTCGTCCCAGAGCTGCGTAATGTTGCAGACCATTACAGGAACCATCCTGAAATAACAGAAATTAAAAAAAAATATTCAAGATTATTAATGCAAACTATAAAGTCTTAATATATATATTGAATCCGTTTAGCTTAGCATAGCACAAGATCACAAGTGTGGAGCACTTGATGTAGAATCAAACTGATTTGCCAAAGGGGCTTGTAAACCATTGCCTTGTAGTAGGTACACCACATATATTCTTAGCTTAATTTCTCACTGGAGGATCCACTTAAAATCATGCAACCAACCCAAGCCTGCCTTCTTATAAAACTGACATTTAATGTGCTTCAATCTCATCCAACAGGAGACTAGCAATAATAAACTTGCATTCCTCTCCTGTGGCTGGCGATGCTACTTATTTTGATTGAAGATGAAAAGAACTTCAACACAGGGAATTTTAACTTAACTGTTTATTAATCATGCTGCCGTGTACATTTCTATTGAGTGGCTTCGTCGTCCCACCAGTGGGGAGCCATTTCAGACATGAGAGATACCACGTCTACATTGCTTGACAGTTCAGAAACAACTCACTGAGAAACCTTTCTCTATCTATCATTCTCATGCTTGTTCCACCAATCAAAATCAAGTTCCTTGTTTTGTCTCCCATCTGACCTCAAAGGTCAACCTCAGGAAGTCTAAGCAGAGATACACTTCCATCTAAAAAATAATAGTCTGCTAAACTATTATTTAATACAAGATGGCAACAGCATCAAACTTATTGAAATTAGTTTGCTCATCAGAATTCCAAATATATATTTACTTAGCTTTCTGTGATCCCCAATGAGGATTAAAATAAACTCTTCTTGTACCTAATGTCCTGGCTGAATTAAAGTTTAACTTAGGACCTGGCAAAAAAGCTGTGCGTTGATTTGACAGTTTTCTCTCGTTATCACTATTACCATATATTTCCTCGGTAATTTTTATGTTTTTCTCAGAATAAAACCATGCCATACCAAAATGTATTTAACATTTTTGTCAAGAGAAAAAGAATGTGTAAACACTAATTATTTCCTATTTACACTGTTTGGACTGTTTTCGTCATCTTTATTGTCATGATGTCTCAGCCGTTGTATGCTCTGGTGTTCTTCAGGTGATATATGTTAGAATTTCAAACCAAACCATTATTTCGTTCATCGGGGTAAATTGTTCTAGTTCCACATGCCATGCCTTTTCTGGATATTTCCGTTTCAGTTATTTCCCTTTAGTAACTCAACTCTCCAAGTTTTTGTTCACCTCTGCTGTGGCCAGGGATTGAACTCAAATTCTTTGGGTCAAGTCACTTTTGGATTACTTCAACCAATGCTTTTATCGCCAAAGACACATGGCCAAGTGGATAAAATCTTTGGTTGAAGTTATTTTTTTTTTTTAATCATTTCACCCTAAGCAAGGCAATAAAACTACTAAGACACAAATGGTTACTGAGCGTTATGGAATATGAGGAAAAAAAATATTAAGTAGAGTACTATAAAAGAATAAGAATTAAAAGGACAGATGATGATGACTGACATTGCATTTAAATTTTTGAAGATCAAACTAGACTAAAAAGCAAGAAGCTGGAAGAGAGTTCCACAAGTGAGAAGTGTGAGAGAAGAAACTGTTAGCATAGAACTTACGGTTACATGCATTTTAACTATAAAATGATGGATGAGACCTTATCTCAAATCCAGTACTGTGCCTAAATTCATCAAGTGTAGGTACCATTGAGGAAAGTTCATAAAAACAATTAGTATGAAAGTATTTATAGAAAAGGTATGGGGAAGCTATGTTATGGTGGTGGGAAAATAACTGAAACCAAGATGCCAGGTCAGGACCAGTAACATTGCAAATTCTTCTTTGGATTTTATCAAGAATATCTAAATATATAGCAGAAGCACCAGATCAAATGTGGCAGCAATATTCAAAGCAAGGATGAATGGTAGACTTATAAATATGTAAGATAGATTTTCATGTGAAAGATTTCAAAATTTTGTTAAAAAATCCGATCTTCATCATTTTCTGCTTTGCTTTTGATGACATGATTGGAATCTGTGACTCATATATTGGTTACAGGGTGAACAGAGATTGAATGGGAGCACGACAGCTTGCTAAAAATAAAATCATTGTTCTATTGCCATCATTATCTCAAAGTGACCATCTTTTTCGGATAAGTTTTCTGGAGATAACTTATTTTATAAACAGCAACAGGACACCTAAGCTCTCCCTCTGGAGGTAAAAAGCTACTCTGAAAAAAACAATTAAATTAATGCTAACATGCAGTACCATATTTTCTGGCTTGGAAGATGCAGCCTAACATTGGAAAGAAATTTCTAAGATTAAAAATAAAAGTAATTCTCATACAACAACACATTCACCATGCATCCCTCACATACTGGTGTCATGTATTGTTTACATTAATCATTCGTCCAATTTTGTTTCTATGGTAACAACATACTAGTCAAGAGCAGAAAGGCTCCCACTGCTGATAGTAAACAGAGTATGTTTAAGCTTGTGGCTCAGCTCCAGGAAGGTTTATAGTTTTAGAAATACTTGTAACAGCTAAGTACTGAGGTTACATCATATAAAAGGCTGAATTAGATAGCTAGCTAGCATTATAGTGTAATGACTTGACATATAAATCTACGTTCCTATTAGTCAAGCCAATTAAGTAACTGTCCAAGCTTACTTGAGCCTGGGTGTTGCCTTGCATCCATCTTGGAAGATGCACACATATTTTTCAGGGTACTTTTTTTTAGGAAAAAAAAAAAGTGTCATATAAGCTGGAAAATACAGTATTTGAAAAGTATGTCAGATGAACAGTTTCAGAAGGAAAAGGGATGACTGATTTCTTACCTGGTGCACAGGAAAATGGCTAACATATTCTGCCGGGTCTGGAGATCTGACTGCCTTGGCAATTTCCATACAACAGGCAAGTGTCTGCCAAGGTTCATCAGAAGTCTGCCACCAACAACGACCCTATAAAATATGAAAATGATAATTGATGAGTGTAAATCAATAATTCTGATTTCTTTTGTCTTTATTTCTAAGTATGGTGATGATTAAATAATTTAAGGTGATAATCTCTAAACATAGACGCTCAAGGTGATAATATCTGAATGTAGAAACTCAAGGTGATAACCTCTGAACGTGGAAGTTCAACATGATAACCTTTGAACCAGGGCTCAAGATTAACATTGTCCCAGAGATGATTAGTTTGGTTAGGATTTTTTTTTTGAGACAATGCCAGGACAATACAGATTTTTTAATCATTTCACCCCAAGCAAAGCAATAAAACCACTAAGATATAAGGAGAAGACATTAAAAGAAGAGAATTCAAGAAAACAGAAATCATTTATGTATTCATTCATGTATCTGCTTATGTTTGGTTGTTGTTAGCTGCCAATCTACAAGTCATGATCCATTTATAAAAAATAATTTTTTAATTTTTGCTTTTTTACTTAGTTTAAATTTAACATAGATCATATTTAATTGGTTGATCAGAGGCCACAAAACTTATAACCCCCCAACTTTTTCTTTTTTTTGTAAAAAGAGGTTATATTTTGTTTTTAAGTCTAAATGTATCATTCACTCGCCAGTAATTTACAATCGTCTGATGAAAAGTATTGATATGCATACGGTTAGCAATGTTATATACATGTGATAAAAACATAGTTTTAAGGTATGTTATATTAATGGGTAAAAGTGCTCAACATCGTTGATAAAAGAGTATGTAAACAGTTACTATGGGAAGTTGGTGTTGACCTCAGTGTCCACTTTTATTAAAAACCATGGGTATATAAAAGTTAAAGATCCTAACAAATAACTTGGATTCATCATCTATTATAAAAAAAATTCAAAACATCCAATCTAATTCTTAGAAATAATTCATCACCTCAAAAAAAATCTACCCTATGTAAAAATAATATTGCTTAGGAATTATTATCTGATTTGGGAAATTGTATCACCAACACTAACAAACAACATTAAATTCTTACATTGGTCACACATATACCACCCTCTCATGTAGGTTAACTTGTCATTTGTCAAAATTTGGTGCAATTTGTTATAGATGAATGAACATTTGACAAATAAACAAAGTATTAACATTGGGCAAATTTTAGTTGACAACATCAAAATTTTATACAGGATACAACACAAAGAAAGGCTCCAAATTCTGCGGGCTACTGTAAAAAAACAAAAAACTACCCCCCCCCCCCAAAAAAAACAACCAATATTGAATAAGTTATCTTTCTCCACAGGAGACCATATATTGAAGTGTATTTAAAATCAACAAAAAACCCACACACATAAAAAGTTCTGTTTGACAGTTTATATGACATCTTCATGGAGTTAAAAACAAGTTGTGTAATGACACACAGAACAATCCTTGAACACAAATGAAGCATCATTCAAAAGTATTTGTGGTGGTGGAGGTGGTGGGGGGGGATAATATAAAATAAAAGTTAATATGAATTTTGGCAAATTTACAGATAACAAAACTTATTTGGGAATTTGAAAGATTTAATAAAAAGATTGATAGACAGCACTTGTCTATATTATTTAACTGAATATGTTTATATATATATATATATATATATATATGAAGAAATATAGTTTTAAGCTGTGCTATATTTATGGGATAAAGTGCTCATTATCAGTGATAGAGCATATGTAAATATAAATATCAGGTCATCCCATAAGTTCTGTCCGAATTTTGAATAAAGAAAACAAGTGACCAAATGTTACATTTAATTACAGATTCAATCAACAATGTATTTTCCCTGATTATCTATGACTTCCTTCCATCTATTAACAAGCTTACTAATTCCATTACTGTAAAATTCTTTTGGCTTTGATTCGAAGAACTCACAAATGTCAGTTTTAACCTCTTCCTGTGTTACAAAAGCTGTTTCTTCCAAACGATTCTGTAAGCTACAAAATAAATGGTAGTCTGAAGGATCAAGATCAGGAGAATAAGGTGGATGAGGAATTTTCTCCCAACCAAGTTCTTTGATCTTTTGTGACATGATTCTTGCTATGTGGGTTCGCGCATTGTCCTGATGAAACATCACCCCTTTTCAGTTCACTAGAGCAGGTCTTTTTTTTCTCAAAGCTTGGTTCAAACACTCTAATTGCTGACAGTATATTTGAGCATTAATTGTTGCATTAGGTGGTAAGAATTCAAAGTGGATTATTCTTGGCGATCCCATCAGATTGAAAGAAGAACCTTTTGCCCATGAAGTTCCCTTCTCGGTTGTGGCTGGGGTCCTTCCCCTTTACCAAGCTACTGTCTACGACACTTAACATTTCAATAAAAGTTCCATTTTTTGTCGCCAGTCACAAGTCTATCGAAAAAAAGGTGAAACAAGTTGGCGAGAATAGAGAGAAGAGCAGATGTCAACTTGGGATTTTAGGTTATTTTCAGACAATTCATGAAGCACCCATTTTCCAAGTTTAGGAACTTTTCCAAGTTGTTGAAGATGACAATGAACAGTTGTATGGTTTGAACTGAGAACCACTGCCAATTCCTCAACTGATAAAGCAGGATTTTCTTCAAGGGCTGCTTCAAGAAGCTTTTCATCAAACTCAATTGGATGTCCGGTTCGATCTTCATCTTCAAGGGTGAAATCTCCACCTCTGAATTTTGCAAACCATCTTCTGCAAGTTCTTTCATTCACACATTCCTCTCCATAAACTGAGTGAATGTTTCTAGCCGCTTTGGCTGCTGAGTTTCCTTTCTTGAACTCATAAAGCATTATGTACATCAAATGATTCTTGGGTACTTCCATGTTAGCAGGGTTTTAATCAAACAAAATTTAAATTTTATTGTTCTCTGAAATAAAATTTGATCAGTTTAAGTGCATCTAAACATAAAAATAATGTTCAGCTCCATTAGACATTATAAAATACTCTTTAAATTTTGTTCATTTTAACAAAAAGTTAAAATTCGGACAGAACTTATGGGATGACCTGATATAAAAGTGAACACTGAAGTCAACACTCAGAGGCGACAGGCTGTTTCATGCTAGACGCATTTGTCAGGCCGCCTGATTGTGTCTAGCATGAAACTTTTATATATACAATATATAGTGTATATTTAGGCAGCATATTTTCATTCAAACAGATTTATTTGAATAATTTAGACATATTTTAGAATTTTCTTTCCTCCTGTTTATAGTTGGAATGCATTTGATTACAATATAGTAATTTAATATAATATCTCTAAACATATTAAATTACTATATTGTAATCAAATGCATTCCAACTATAAACAGGAGGAAAAAAAATTCTAAAAATACTCATAAACACTAATATATCTCCCAATGATTAAAGGAAAAATATAAAAATAAATCATATACCATACTAAATTTAATACAACTAATTTAGTTGTCCAAAACAACTCTTCTCCACCAACTAGCATCTTGAAAAAGGCCAACATTGTATATCAATTTAAATGTTCTTTAGGAGATTGTATCTCTGATAAAAATGCCAATATGCATGTTGGCTTTACTACGACTATGCTAACAAAAAAGCTTACATTTCATTTGGCTGAGTATAGTTCAATATCTCAGTATTTAAAGGAACACTCATGCCCACACTTACAGATTAGATTAGATGGATCTATATATATTATATATATATATATATATATATATATATATATATATATATATATATATATACACACACAGAGTCCCCTCCAAAATTTCTTTGTTTTTGTTGTTCATTGGGCTTAAGAGCCAAAGATGAAGATGAGACAAGCATTCAGAATTTCAGCCTACACACTATTGTCATGGCCTGATGATTATGTATAAGCATGAAACAGACTGTTGCCACTGGGTGTTGACTTCAATGTCCCCTTATGTGTGTGTGATTTTTATATTTCTGTTGATTGACTCAATATGAACCATAGTCATTTTTTTAACTTTAAACCTGTTTGAGCTTTCCCCATCTCTAAATTCATTGGCATCAAGGGTAGAAAAGAGCAAACAAAAAAAAAAACAAAAGACCATTTGGTGGTACAATGACAATGGAAGACAACTTACCTCCATTGGGTGATCAGCAGAGTTTAGAATGTTATCCATGTTCTCATTAGCAAACATCAGTCTTTCTGCATTGGAGGATCTAAAAAATGGGGTAAAAAAATAGTTCATGTGCCAATTTTACTGACACTCAATCCGATTCAGTCAGATCCAGTAATCCATTGTACCCGATGATAGAAAAACAACTTTCTAAGCATAAAAGACATCTTACTAAACATTTCTTGCATCTTTTACCTAAAATGGTGTAAAGATCTATAGAAAATAAATACTATTTCCAACACAATTACATACCCATATACATACCATATTAAAACATGCCTAAACATTTTTTTTTACTTAATAGCAGACAATATTAAAAACATGCCAAAAAGATTCCATAATGCAACACACATTGTTTAAATCAAAGTGTCTATTGGTTAGAAATTAACATCATCAAGTGAAATATTTGACCAATCAGAAAAAACTAAAACCCTATTTTTCTCAAGCCTGCTTTCTGGAAAAATTTCTTATAAACACCCACAGATTTCAACTTTCAAGAAGAGAGATGCGGCTGTCTCCAAACCAAAGAGAAGACATGGCTTCATAGACATATTTATTTACATTATTCGGACTATTGTCCTCATCTTTGTCGCCATATATATTACAACGTTTCGGCCATTGTACGCTCCGGCCTTCTTCAGGTGGTTGGAATGTCGAACTGAACCCTTTATTTCGCTCACTGGGGTAGACTGTTCTAGTTCCACATGCCATGTTTGATGGATGTCAGTTATCAGTTATCTCCTGTTAATTTCCCTCTGAAAGTTCTCTACTGCCTCAACCGGGTATTGAACTCACACTGTTTGGGTCCTGTCACTGGATCTAACCAACGCCAAGGCCAATGTAAATAATGTACATAATACCTCACCTCAGAAATATAGATAGACTATGGCTTCATAGCTTTTTCAGTCCTACTTTGGCTTGTTATCTACAAGGAAAAATTATCTACACCATACAAATTTTATTTTGGAATGGTATCTACATAAAACATATAACATAAGGAAGATGTAATTAAATTATTAAAAATTTTTCTTTTATTTATATTCTAGAAATAAATGGCATGCACATTAGCTAAAATGTCTACACAATACAAATTTTAATTTTACTTAGTAAAACATAACATATAACAAAGAAAATGTAATTAAAATATCAAAAAATTTTCTATTAAAAATATTCTAGCAATAAACTGCATGTACATCAGCTAAAAATGCTAAATAGAAGTCAGGATGTGCTGAAAGAAACATGTCAGCAACTCCAAATGAATCACCTCCAACAACAGCAAAGATGATTAGTGAATTTTTGTTAATGATAAAAAGTCTTTTCTAAACCACAGATTTTTCTGTGGACCCAAAGACTTTAACTAAAAACTATTTTTACTCCTTTTTGACTTCTTTTGTATTTATGTACATATGTTTGTAAATACAAATAATTTATTTCACAGACATACCTATGTTTTCTTTCTTTTCTTTTTATTATTCTTTGGAATTCAGACGTTTAGATTTTAATATAGAAAACCTAGACGACTGAATATTCCTACAGATCCTATTGAAAACTGTATACTAAGACACATACCGAAATAGCTATAATCATCTTCCCAGACCAACACAAATTACTAAACAAATTTAAAGAATTTATCTCAATATGCAGACACAAAAAACAATTTTTTTCCCCCGTGTTACTCAAAAATCAAAAACTAAAATCAAATACCTTTTAAACTATTGCCAAGAGAAATGCAAAAACATGCTGTATATACAAAGTAGATAATATACTTTAGACAAAGCCAATACTTTAAACGAAACAAATAAGATACCTCCCCCTCCTACCAAGGAAAAAAAATAAATACTAAACAAATTAAATAAACAATTTCTCAAACTGTATGAATATACACATAACCACAATTAAGAAAATTTAATATCAACTGTAGAAGGGAAAACGGCTTACCTCCTGGAACAAAATGTGCTCATATGTATCTTGTGTGCAAAATGCATAAAATAAAATATGGCTGATCTAAAAGCTGCAACTTATGAACAACTTGAACTCGAAGTTCAGAGATTTTGTGAGACGAATTTGTGGCTTATGCAAATTTCCAAGCCTCAGCCACTCGACAAAATGAGCATGGGTGAGAGACCAACAGATGGATTGCAGAAGCAGACGAGTCAAGTGGTCATGCTTTGTGTTTGAAGCTTCATGGGAGTTTCATTTATTGTGATTGAAGAGACAAAGTACAACTGGTACTCCCAACAGTCATACATTTTTTCAACCCCACCAACAGAATACCCTAAGTAATCAATAATAAATATTCAGTTAAATGCTTACAAATAAACCCCCTACAATATCTATAAAATAACAGCATTCTGGTCCATAATTATTTCTACTCAATAACCTTTAGAATAGTATTTACATTAGTCGGACTATTGTCCTCATCTTTGTCGCCATATTTGTCACAACGTTTCGGCCGTTGTACACTGGCCTTCTTCAGGTGGTTGGAATTTCGAACTGAACCCTTTATTACGATCGCTGGGGTAGACTGTTCTAATTCCACGTGCCATGTTTGATGGATGTCAGTTATCAGTTATCTCCTGCTAATTTTCTCTCTGAAAGTTCTCCACTGCCTTAACCAGGTATTGAACTCACCTTCTTTGGGTCTGTCACTGGAGGGAAAATTAGCAGGAGATAACTGATAACTGACATCCATCAAACATGGCAAGTGGAACTAGATCAGTTCCCCAGTGATCAAATAAAGGGTTCAGTTTGAAATTCCAACCACCTGAAGAAGGGGCCGGAGCGCATAACGGCCAAACGTTGTGACAAATATGGCACAAAGATGAGGACAATAGTCCCACTAATGTAAATACTGTACATAATACCTCATCTCAGAAATATACACAGAACCTTTAGAATAATCTATAATTCTCAAAATGCGTGTGTGTGATCGGATGTTGTTTATGCATTTTCAGTTTTCATCCAATTTCGATGAATTTTTTTGTTTGATAGATAATTCTTTAGTGCCAGAGTCCAAATTATAGTTCTATAGTAAGCTATATTTATAACTATAAGTGCTCAATATCAGGGAGAGATCATATGTAGACAAAAGTAAATTCAATAATTAATGAATAAATAATAAGTTCAAAGTTAATAAACACTATACAATATAATACAATAAAATACAATAACTATAAAATAACTGCATTCTGGCCCATAATAACCTTTAGAATAATTTAAAATATAATTATATTTGTTTACACAATAACTTAGTATAAAAAATGAAAAATACCTGACCTTGCTACCCATAATGCTTCATTGACCAATCAAACCATTATCCAACACAGATGGCCTGAAGATTACATTCAAGCATGAAAGAGACTCTTACCATTCAGTATCCACTTCAGTTTCAACTCATATGATATCCATGGAAAAATTTTAACAAAGCAATGCCACCAGATGATTGTTCATACCAAAAAAAAAAAAGAAAAGAAAAAAAAGCAGGCCTTACCGTTTCTTAAAACCAGTAAGATTGATGAGGTGAATCTTGAGCCAATCCAGACCCCGAGGCCCAAGTTTTTGACCCTTGGCAAAAAGCAAAATACTTCGTGTTACATCACTTCCTGTAAAGCAAAAGACATTTTAATGAAAACAAAACTCCATTGAAAAAGTGACAAATTTTCTCTCTTTTGAGATCAAAATCTCTGTTTCTCATTTCAGAGAGAGAAAGAAAAAAACATACTGACAAAGAGTTTATGTTGAGGTACATTATTTGTTGTCATCTCATTATTAAAAACAAAACATTTTTTGTCAACCAAGGATATTGGAAAAATAGGATATATATTAAATATATATGAAAATATTTGTTTGGCATGACATGACAATTGCATAGGAGTCAATGTGTCACAAAATCGCATTCAGATTGTGTGTTGGAAATGCGATTGAAGATGTGTGTGCATGTAAGTGTGTGTATGTTGTTATGAGTAACTGAATGACAAAATGGAAAAATCTCCTATGTTATATGTTTCATCCTTCAAAAGTACTTCTTCAGACTAATAATTGCTTTATTGATGAAGTCATATATATATATATATATATATATATATATAAATTGTTTTTTTTTTTAAATATATTGTCATCACAACAGCAAAATTCTCATGGTTCAAAACTGAAACTTCAATTTAAATTCAATCATAAAAATTAAACTCAAAATATAAAGTTCCATCCCATTATCAAGTGTTGACATCACTTGATAATGGAACAGAACTTTGTATTTTGAGTTTAATTTTTATGATTGAATTTAAATTGAAGTTTCAGTTTTGAAACATGATTATTTCGTTGTTGCAATGATAATATATTCTTAAAACAAACAATTATAATATTATGCTCTACTGTTGTATTGAGCACTGTTTTTTAAAAATAAAAATAAATGCTAAGAACTCTGAATTATAAATCTCATTGTTCTTTCCTATTATTTATATATATATATATATATAGGGTGGGGAGAGAAAAATACAACAAATGACTGTGGCAGTTTTATATCAAGACATGTTGAAGATACAGAAATGCTTAGCTTTAAATTAAGTGTTTTAGCATCCAGTGTATTCAAATGAATAACTTAGCTGACTTCATTCAATTTTCAGGCGTGTGTAAAAAAGAAAAATCCAGAACTTTTCCAGGACTATGTTATGAAGTTTCAAGGACTGAAACTAACATACACACACACACACAAAGTGAATGGTCAACAATTTCAAAAACACAAACTTTTTGATTAATAGTTTGACAGAAAATATGTTCAAAGAAAAGCTACAACTGGTTCCAAAAATTCATGTTACATGGATCAGTTGAAAGCAGTGAAGAAATCTAAGTGTTGAAGGTTAAAACACAACTGAATGCAGACCTGGTTATGTTACACATTTTGTGTAGCAATCTTCAGTTTGGAGTTCTACTACATTTGAAAATCATGAATTACACTTTAATTCTTACTGCTACACATTTCAGCTACCGAGACTACTCATTGTGAATCTTGCAAAAATTCTGCTACACATTTCCTGTGAAGTTAAGTATAATGGTTTTAATAAACAGAACTACAAACAGAAACTTTCACGAAATGACTACACATTTTAGCTACCCCTACTACTCATGGCTATTGTTACGCATGGCACAGAACACAACAATGTTAACATTTTTTCAGTTCATCTAGTTTAGCATTCAGTTCCTCTTGCAATTTGGATATCTCTATGGATTTCTCCTTTGCAGATCTTTGCATGGCATTGGACTTCAAGTGTGAAGTTCTGAGTCTACTCAACTTTCTCCGCATAACTGTCAGCTGACTCGAGTAAATCTTATGTACAACTTTCAAGCTTGTGTTTTTTGGTCTTTAGTTCTTCAATTTCCATAAGCATGGATTTCTGTTTTTTGTCCCACTGCTTCTTCCAGCCTTTTTTCTTCTCAGCCTCAAGATATTGGTTGTATGCTGTTCTGGCATTAGAAGCACTCCAGAGAAGAGCCTTACTCATGGGAACATTCCCAGCACATTCAACTGTGGCCAAATAGTCTGTGATAGTGTGCTGTGGAACCAGAGCCTGCTGTTTCATATTGTCAGTAGAAATTTCCTTATTGACTGAGAAACCTTTGTCCATGAGAGAGTACCAGCAATCTGCAAACAACTCTCCAGAGTTTTTGATATTCTTTGTTGCTAGACAAATAAAAGTAGAACAAAGTTTCCAGACGGTCTTCATGCTTGCTGAAATTCTTGAAAGTAATATTTCCAGCAGCCTCCTCCTCAAATTCTTTGTATTGACTGATGATGTCATCATAATCAGACTTGTTGACTTGCTCTCTCTCTCCATCATGTGGTAAAGACATTTTTTAGATTGTCTTCTGTGGCAATCTTTTTTTTCACAAATGGATCCAGGGTTAAGCCATGCAAGTGACCTTACAAGAGGGTATCTAAAGGGTGAATTTGCCAGATGTTTCTCAATGATGGTGATGAAAATTGTCTTTGTTGCAATTCTGCATGCAAACAGATCTTTTGTTGACACATTTCCTTTTGTTGGATAAATTTTGCATAGCCTTATTTACCAGAAATCCACACTTGATCTTTGCAACATTTTCATGCATGTTTGAGTTTAACAAAATTTGTACAAATTCATTTAGTTTGGAAAAAGTAATTATCTTTTTACATGCTCTTCCTTAGAAAATCTTAATATTTTCATGATCAGGCTAAAAACATTATCTTCAAGAAAAGGAAGCAACTGTTTATCGCTCTGATATTTTATCAGAAACGGTTCAATGTCTTTCAAAACGGACACAAAAATCTGCAGTTTCACTGGAAATTAAACATAATTTGCATTTGACAGCACCACAGGGGCCTGGGGACATTGTTTCTGTTTTTTTTTTAAATTAAGTTCACAAATTCAATGACATATGGCCAAATGTCTAGGAGTCGTTGATGTGTACATTTTTTAGTGATCATCGCACTATGTGTTACTCTTCTTTGCGTGGGATCTCTCATATATGTATGAATAGAGAAAAAAGGAAAAATTTTCTTTACCAGTGCATTTTGTCTTCTGATGGACTTTGTTAAGACAAAGGTAAGGATTTATTTTCCAACATGCATTTATAAACAGATGTAAAAATATTGATAGGTTTTCAAAATTTAAGAACACTCAAAAATATTCTTCAGGCTGTGAAAGTCAAGGTAAACTATGGAGGTTGTTTAGTAATGTAATTTAATGCCTAATGAAAGTGAGTGTCTATATTTCTGAGAGGAGGTATTATATACATTATTCGGACTATTGTCCTCATCTTTGTCACCATATTTCTTCAAGGACACAAGACACAGTGGATAAAGGTGTTGGTTAGATCCAGTGACAGGACCCAAAGAGTGTGAGTTCAATACCTGGTTAAGGCAGTGGAGAACTTGGGGAGGGGAATTAACAGGAGATAACTGACATCCATTAAACATGGCACATGGAACTAGAACAGTCTACCTCAGTGACCGAAATAAAGGGTTCAGTTCGACATTCCCACCACCTGAAGAAGGCCGGAGCGTACAAAGGCTGAAATGTTGTGATAAATATGGCAACAAAGATGAGGACAATAGTCCGAATAATGAAAGTGACTAAATGTTGTTGTTTTACACATATCTTACACAATCTTCATAAATCTTCATATGCACTTAAAAGCATTGTATTCAATTTTCTGAAAAGATGTATAAAGCCACACTGACAGCAAGCAATGGAGAGTTCACAGAGAGGCAGAAGAAGGTATGATTTCTTACCAAGATGATTAAAGTGTGGTGGACAAGGATAAGTTCTTCCACGAAAATCCATGTTGTGAGGGAACCAAAAAACGTCATCACGAAACTGGAAAAATTTGAATAACAAAAAAAAAAAAAAATCTTTATAACTTTTATTCTTAATGTTATATAAGAATATAAAAAGTGATTTTAGTCAATGTTCATTTTTGGGAAATTTGCATTTGTCACCAAAATAGAAGATTAAGATTGAAATGAAAATAAAAGTAAATGCTAATCCAAAATTAATAAGAATGGCTGACAAATGGTGGAACTTAATTAGAACCATCATTTATCGGATTATTTCCCTTGGAACATTGTGTCCAAGAGATGTTTTAAAATAAGATCTATGCAAATTCAAGTTCTAGGGAAAAAAATGTGTCCCAAGGAAAAAGAATTGTTGAAATAAAAGATAAAAAAAAGAAAAGAATTAATATGGTTTGCAAAGACAACACAGAAATAAGAATAACATACGTAATATAGAGGAATAACTTACAAATGAGAAAGGATTAACTTAAAGGATTATAGGGAGTGGAGAGTAAGGAAGGAGGGAAGAAAAACAAAGGAGGGAGGGGGAAATAAAAGAGGGGGTAAATAAAAGAGGAGGGGGGAAAAAGGAAGGAAGGAGAGAGGAAAAATAAAGGTGAAAGGAAGAATCAACAATGGAGAGAGGGGGGAAAAAAAGAAGGAAGCAAGAAAAATGGAGAAAAAAAGGAAAGAAGAATCAACAAAGGAGGAAGGAGGGTAAACAAAAGATGGAGGGAAGAAAATCAAAGAAGGAAGGTAGAATCAACAAAGGAGGTGGGCGGAAAAAGGGATTAAGGAAGGAGGTAAAAGGGAGGGAGGAAAGAAGAATCAACAAGGTAGTGAAGAGGGTAAACAAAATAGGGAGGGACGAATAACAAAGAAAGAAGGAAGGAGGAAAAAGGGAGAGAGGGAGGGAGGAGGAAAAAAGGAGAGAGAGGGAGGAGGAAAAAAAGAGAGGGAGGGAGGAGGAAAAGGGAGAGAGGGAGGAGGAGGAAAAGGGAGGAAGGAGGAAAAAGGGAGAGAGGAGGAAGGAGGGAAAAGGAGAGAGGGAGGAAAAATGGAGGGAGGGAGGAAAACGGAGAGAGGAAGGGAGGAGGAAAAACGGAGAGAGGGAGGAAGGAGGAAAAACGGAGAGAGGAAGGAAGGAGGAAAAACGGAGAGAGGGAGGAAGGAGGAAAAAGGGAGAGAGGGAGGAAGGAGGAAAAAGGGAGAGAGGGAGGAAGGAGGAAAAAGGGAGGAAGAAAGGAGGAAAAACAGAGAAAGGAAGAATCAACATGAGAGGGAGAAAAACAAAAGGGGGAGGAAAGAGGGAGCAAGAAAGAAAGGAAAGAGGAGAGAACAATGGAGTAGAGAGAGAGAGAGAGAGGGAGAATTAACTTACGTGGTTTGCAATGGACAGCTTATACAGCTCATTACACCAGAGGCTGTGCATTTCAGCCTTCTGCTGCTTCAACTTGATCCGCATCCGCTGGGTTCTTGACCGCTGCTGGCCACTCATATCACTAAATTAGAAAACAAACAAACAAGGATTATGCACCAATTCAGGGCAGACAATGTTGGGTGAATCATTTTTAAGGGGGTTAATATGAAAAAGAACAAAAAGGGATGCTAGAGAAAGATACCATTTGTCATTGATAAATCCAATAAATCTTACAAAATTTATACACACATATAGATATATGCACAGATAAAATATACGGTTGGTAACTGAAGATATTTACTCTCCTTCTACCCGAAGAGTTCATTGGGTGAAACTTGAGTAGTAGTGAGTGAGTGAGTGAATATTGCATATTTTTTAAGGCAGATGTATATATATATATACTAGCAGTAGAGCCCGGCATTGCCCGGGGATGTAACAGTAAGAGATAGATCAAGTATCAACCATCATAAAGACTGAAAAATAAAATTGACAAAGATTATTGTTTAAGGTTGATGGACATGGATGTCTTAATTATTTTTTTTTTTTTAACAAATTGGTCAAACCCAAACTCGAACAAAAACATTGTTTTCAATCGTTATGAGTCTACCGATTGAGTAGAATTTTATTATAAACAATTGTCTTGTAAATGGAATTTTTAAATCATTCTGAATGTAAAAATAAAGAAAAAAGTGTGCAAGACAATAAGAAACACTACCTGCCAAAAAATAGTGAACTTTTGTTGAAATCGGTTGAAAAATGTAGGAAATACGATCCCATATATAAACGAACACAGACACACACAAACAACCAACCTGGGTTTTATAATAAGTATAATTCGATATTAATAAGTATAACTCGATATGAGTTGTTTCCCTTTCATTAATGCCTCTTAATCATGTTTTCAAATTGATTTTGTGCAAAAACAATTGTGTTTTTCCAATTTTTGGCGCTGTCAGAACCACTGCAAGGTAATTTTATGTAGTCCTGTAAAGTTTTGTCGAAATCGGTTGAAAAATGTAGGAAATCTGATCCAATATATAAACGTACAGACACACATACACACACAATCTGCGTTTTATAATAAGTAAGATGTATGCAGATATGTAGAAAAATAGGAAAGAACACGTTAGGTAAATATTTGCATACGGGACTTAATTCTCATTCGCAAGATAAGGACAATTGTCCGAACAATGTAAGTAGAGTAAATGATTAATTCATATTTGCATATGAGACTTAATTCTCATTCGCAAGATAAGGACAATTGTCCGAACAATGTAAGTAGAGTAAATGATTAATTCATATTTGCATATGAGACTTAATTCTCGTTCGCACAAGACTTCCTATTTTATAAATTCAAGCTGGTTTGAATTCTTAGTCTTTTTCATTGTATGTCTGCATGCGAGATAGGAATTTCGGAATAATCCATTTCACTTTTAATGGTGGTCGCGATCTTTCAACAAGACCTGACCTGCCAAGCAAATTCGCTTTGCAGGAGGTGAGTCATTTCGTTCCTCACAAAATATTATATTGAAAATGTCAAGTCAATATTGAGTTAATAACAAAGTTAGGCTATGAAGTTTGTGTGTGCGTGCGTGAGAGAGAGAGAATCTTGTCCTTAACGTGTGTGTATGATGCCATTATCATCCTGGTGGGCTCAAATATTTTCAATTTGCTTTCATCGATTGTGGTTCAAACACGTCAGGGAACAAAGTTTGAGACATTGGGTTGAATCCTTTGGAAGGATCTCTAAATAAATTCATCTCCTCAGCTTATTTAAGGTGAGGGACTACATGCCTGTAGTGTTGAAATATGTTACTTACTGTGTAATTTTTGGTAAAGGTGGACATTCTGCAGCTGGTGGAGGAATATCCAACTTCTTGTTTCCTTTGTTGTTAAAAACATTAATGATGAGATCTAAAACCTGTAAAAAAAAACAAAAACAAAAAAAGAATTATTTACATTGTTCAAACTGTTGTTGTTGTTATCTTTATTGTCATGTTCATGAAGTTTCGGCTGTTGTACACTCTGGCTTTCTTCAGGTAATTGGAATTTCAAACAAAACCCTTTATTTCGTCCAGCAGTGTAGATTGTTCTAATTCCACGTGGCGTGTCTCTTCCAGATGTTTCAGTTATCTCACTTTAACTCAACTCTCCATGTTTTTATTCAGCTCTGCTGTAGCTAGGTATTGAACTCACAACTCTTTGAGTCAAGTTACTGAATCTACCCAAAGCTTTTATCCACTGGGCCATGTGTCCTTGAGATAAAGGATTTTATTCAAAATCCCAATCACCTGAAGAATGCTGGAATGCACAACAGCCATAATGACAATAAAGACGAGGATAATTAAGTAATATAAGTAATTACACTACCTCATTTCAGAAATATAAACAGAATATAAAGAAATAAAATATTTTTGTGTGTGTGTGTATATTATAGACTAGCAGCATGGCCCAACGTTGCCCGTGCTTGATTCAAAAATCGTACGACTCATACAGCAATCGCTATCACTTGACTTAAAATATTTTTGCCTTTCCTTGCCTTTAAACGAGTGCCCTTTGCCGTGCTGATGTTGCTACATGCCTTACTTCTTGCCTATCTCACACTGCAAATTTTTTCTAAGCTCTATACTAAACATTAAATCTGTTACGAAAAAAGAACTAAACAAAATGAACACAAAACGATCAATTTTAAAAAAGGACTCGTAACTGGAAAAACCGAATGAAAAAAGAATGTTAGCAACAAATACTTTTTCACACCCAACCCAGTTCTGCGGAATCAGAATCAACGTTGAGTTTAAGTGAGTGAATGAGCTAATTGGGGTAAAGTGCCATGCAGATTAAAATTTTTCCCACTTGTGACGAATGCAGCTATCAATTTTTTTTGCATGCTAGTTAACATTTGTGTCAGTCAGCTGTTGGCTCTCACATTGGCCAATAGAATCTTCCTGCCTATTCGTGGCAGCCAGCTATAGGCTCTCACTCTGGCCAGTACAAAATGGCCGTAAACTGCATGAAAATTGACGTAGAAGCATGAAAATATCGATTATTTCCACTATCGATGGGAGTTGGGAAATGCAAAGTCGGTCTTGGCCTTCCCGCTAACACGTGCATGTAAATTTTGGTGCAAATACGTCGAAAATTGCGGCTGTGCATTCGTTACACACACACACACACCTTCCCTTTAAAGATAGAGATATACATACATATAGTTTTAAGGTATGCTATATTTATGGGTTAAAGTGCTCTAAATCAGTGATAGAGCATATGTAGATATAAAAGTGGACATTGAAGTCAACACCCAGAGGCAACAGTCTGTTTCATGCTAAATGCAATTGTCATGGTCAGATGATTGTTTACCATGAAACAGACTGATTTCAATGTCCAGTTTTTATTATATATATATAGTGCACAGTGAGTGCTAGTGGTAATAATAAACATTGCTTGATATAAAATAACATCTAAAATTTATATAAAAAATAAATATACATTTGTTCCTAACCCTTGTATCTAATGGCAGGGAATGAATGTGTGTGTGTGTGTGTGTGTATATATATATATATATATATATATATATATATATAGAAACTAGACTCGTTTTAAAAACCCTCAATTTTTGATTTGCTAATCAAATCAATCTCGAGGGAAAAAAAGGTTTTAAAAAAGAAAAGAGCTACAAACATGGACTTCTGCCGACAAAAAAAATCGCACAGATGTAGGTCTGAAGCCCAAAGAAAAAACCCCGATACGAGTAACAACTAACTAACAAAAAGAGCTCAATACAACCGTAGAGCAGACCTAGATACACCTAGTGAGCCAGACAAACCTACCTAGGTTTCACCTAAAACGGATGGTCAGGAAACCCTGCCAAACTTTCCCTGACGATCCGTTTAGGGTGAAACCTAGGTAGGTTTGTCTGGCTCACTAGGTGTATATATATATATATATATATATATATATATATATATATATATTAAAATTAAAGAATATCAAACACTTAAAATCCCATAGGTAATAATTTTTATGAGAGCTCTAACATTTGTTCTTAACCATTGCATATAATCGCAAGACACTAGTTAGATCCAGTGACTAGACCCAAAGAATTGTGAGTTTAATACTATGTTACAGCAGTGGTGAACCAAATAACTTGGAGAGTTGAGTTAAAGGGAAATAACTGAGACATCCAGAAGAGGTACGGCCCATGGAACTAGATCAATCTACCCAGATGGATGAAATAAAGGGTTCAGTTCAAAATTCCAATCATCCGAAGTGTGAATATGGCAATGAAGATGAGGATAACAGGCTTAATAATGTAAATAATGGATTAATTTTCTTGTTTTTATTATTATCATTTCGATTTCTGCTATGGTCATACTACCTACCAAGACTGCGGGAAAAGTTAAGACAGGTAATAATGTATTGTTATGGCTACATTTCATGATTTGTTTTTCTAACTCCTATAACATCACGAGTGTTACATGAACAAAGTTCTTCTTAGGCTCTACTTATCAAGACAATTTTTTTATATTTCTTTTAAGTTGGGATTTTCAGGGATTTTTTTCAATATGTTGTTGTGTTCCTTTTTTTATCATTCCAAGCACACTTACTACGAATGGTACTATTCTTGTTTTCAATTTCCACAATTTTTTCTTTATTATTATTACTATTACTGAATATAACTCTTCTGGAAGTTTTCCATTGACTCAATTGCTAAAGTCTGCAGCTAGGAAAAGTGGATTCACTATGTTGTGGTAGAAAATTTATCTCAACAGAATCTATCTCACATATTTATAAGTTTACCATTCATCTTTGCTTTGAATATCGCTAGCACATATGGTCTAGTGCCATGCCATATTTTGTTTTTATAATAATTTCGCTCCAAGCAAGGCAGGAATGCCACTAGTACGCGGGGGTGGGGCGGGTTACAAGGAGTGAAAGTGAAAGACAAGACTGGGTATGGGGAGGGTTGAGGAAATGACAAAAAAATGAATGGGATTCAAGAAGACAGAAGATGGCGATTGATGTTGCATTTTAATTTTTTTTAAGATTTTCAGGAAGGCAAATAAGCAGAAGAGAGTTCCACAGGCAGGAAGTAAGAGAAAAGAAACTGTTGGAGTGGTGGGCTTATTTAGCTATATTTAGAAATTCTTGATTAAAAAAAAAAAAGATAAAAAAATGTACATTTAAAAATAAAGAAACAGAGAGAAGGTTAAAGGGAGATAATCAAGGTTCACTATGCAGAAAATTTATCTTGACTTACAGGGAGTGAAAGTGAAAGACAAGACTGGCTATGGGGAGGGTTAAGGAAAGGTTAAAGGGAGATAATCAAAGATTCGAAGTCAGAACATTATTATTGATAACTCTCTCCCCCAATTTGTGGACCCTAGTTACTATATTCTTAATATTTGATATAGTGCAAAAGTACCACAATGGTAAAAGTGGTCAATAATTACTTATAGCTATTTATACTGGGACTCCTGCATGCAATTACAAATAATCCATAATAATATTTTAAATTTTGAAATCATATTTATTTTTGGCATATGAATTTTCTAAAACTGTTTTTAAATCTTTGATTGTCTTTTAATCATTCCAACTCACCTGCTATCATCTTCTGTCACACTGTTTGCGAACCACTAGCCTATAGCATATGTGAACACTATAATGAATCCAGTGTACTGGTCTTATGGATAGGAGGTTGATCATTAAAAGTATCAAATTGTTCAGTGAGTAGTCAGGAAGAATTGTGGTGAGTTGTTTTTTTTTTTTTTAAGCATTTCTCCCCAAGCAAGGTGGGATGCTACTAGTACGCAGGGAGTTACAGAGTGGGAGCGAGAGTAAAGAGGTGTGATGGAGGAAAGGATGAAGAGAAGGGCAGGGGATAGTTCAGGGCATCTGGAGATGTCGATTGACATTACATTTGAATAGTTGGAGATTATAGCTATCAGGGAAACAAGTAATAGGAAGGGAATTCCACAGATGGGAGGTGCGAGACATGAAGCAATTGGAGTAGAAGAGACGGCCACATTTAACCGTTCCGACAGTGAAAGGGAGGGACTGTGATGACAGCCTAGTAGCACGCTTAAATTCAAGCAGTCTGGAAACTAGTGTTAGTAGCTTGTTGGAGCAGTTACCATGAAAGTATTTGTAGAAAAGACAGAGGGAGGCGACAACACGTCTGTGAGAGAGCGACTGAAGACGAGATGCCAGATCAGGACCAAAAGAATAACATTCTTGTCAAACATGCATCTTAGCAACAGTTAGAGAAATATGAAGGTGGTGTTCAAGTGGATTAATTCTAAGAATTGTGACTTACAGGTTTATTGATGATCCAAGGACAGGCACTGAGAGCATTAAGACCATCAAAGACAGCACTAAGGCCTCCGTCTGGCAAAATGGTGCTGCTATTTGTCTTACTCATAGACTCTGGGAGACGAATCAATTTCGCTGAAAGTTTAAGGTTGGAAAATAAAATCAAAGACGTTCAGTAAATCAGAATTCTGTTATTTTGCAAAGGAAAATTTCAGATTTGAGAAGTGTGGAGATGAAGATACCAGCATCTTTAAAAGGAAATTTAGATTTGGTATATATACTCACTAGACGCCAATAAGTTTGAACCAATATTCACAGAAATCCATGGCACTGGTGGAATCAACATTGGTAAAGCAACAGCATCAAATGACAATTCGGGATTCATGGTAGCCTGGAACAATTTCATTGTTCTTGGATGAGGCTTTAAAGAAACAAACAATAAAAGAAATAGCCTGTGTTTGATTATATATATATATATATATATATTTTTCCTTCATTCCCTGTCCATTCATTCATGTCACCCATGACAGACTTTTTTCTTTTCCTCATAATCTAAATTCCCCGTTAACAGTTCTGACGAGAGGGGACGAAACCGGTCAACTGGTGTGTGTTTTATTTAAAACTTATCATGGCCTACAATACAACATTTCTAGTTTTTAATGCCTTAATACGCTTTTGTACCGTTTCAAACCTATTTAAATATATATATATATAGCTCATAGTACTGTTGGTAATAATAAAACAGTGCTCGACAGAGATTATATATATAAATCTGAGAAATGATTATATTTTGTATATATATATAAATATTTAAAAAAAAAAAAAAAAAAAAAAAAAAAAAATTTACATATTTGATATGGAAAAATAATCTTACTTAATATGTTTTTCCTTCTGTTATAAAGTTTCTATTAAAACAAACAATGAAAATATTTTAAAATTTTAAAGTTGTATTTTGAATTTGGCACAAATTAAAACCTAACCTAAATTTCTTTTAAATAATACTTTAAATATTTATAGCCATAACATGGCAATGATAGTCCTCAGTACTTACATGAAATATTATAATAATAGGTTTATATATAAAATTTACATATGGGGAAAAAAATAGTAAAAAAAAAAAAAATGGAACCTCATATAATAAACTTAATAAAATATAATATATATATATATATATATATATAAAAATATATATTTCAAATCGTAGTTAAATAAAAAGTATTGTAAAAAAATTTTAATTTTAAAAGATGACGTTGAAAATTTTACCGTTAACAATTTTTTTTTTTTTTTTTTTAATTCAGACTCCATTCACACGTCAGGTTTCAGAGTAAAATACATGTGTATATAACTGATATATATATATATACATACACCCCGTGTTCACACATGTTCTGTGCCATGTGTTTTAGCTGTTTTTAAAACAATAAAAAAAGTTACTCCAAAATTTGCTTGATTGGAAAATTTAAAATTTTCAGACACAAACATAGGGTGCATATTAATATTTTTTTTAATTTTATTATTTCAATTAGATTTATATATATATACTAGTTTTGGCCAGTTCTAGTTTCTTCATTATCAGTAGAAAAAATCCCTGTTTGTTAGCCTAGCAGATAGACTTGATTTACAAGGGGAAAAAAAAATGAATAAATATATATATATATATATATATATATATATATATATATATGAAGAAATATAGTCTTTCTTAAAAGAGTGCTCAATACAAAGTAGAGCAGATATTTTTATAAAAAATAAAAGTGCTTATAAAATCAGAGATTTTGAGCACACTCTGTGTCTTAAATATAAAAAAGAAAATAAATGAAAGTAGAAATTAACGATCAACACTTATTGTTAGAAAAGTGATAGAAAAAACTGTTTCAAAGCTAGACAACAAAATCGTTTTATGTTCACTTTTATATATATATATATATATATAATTTTACAGCTTTAAGATGTTTAAAAACTCAAGTTTCAATTCACTCTCATTGAAGAAGGTGAAAAAAGTGAGTAACAAAACAACTCTTTTCTTGTCCTTTTTATTTTAAAGTTAATATGGTCTTAAACTGTTTTTATAATTGTCTGGGTGTTGAGAATTTTACTGTGTAGGTAGGTATTTGCCTTTTGGTCTTTCTTTTTTTATTTTTCTTGTTTGGAATTTTTATTTCTTGTCTAAAGTATTAGGTTGTCTGGCAAGTTGTCTGTTGGTCACACCAATATCATTGGTTTTTCTTTAGTATATCTATACATATATAAATTATTAATCAGTTGTCTGTATGTATATGATGTGTGTATGTATATATACCAGCTAAAAAATTAACTAAAAATATATTCAATAGTTCATGACAAAGTAAATATTTATACAGGCTCATTATCACCCAAGCCAGCTTTTAGTAAATTATGATATAATACAAAGTTTCCATACCTACACATACACAAAACTCATACATAATAGATTTGTATTTATGAAGATATCACACATAAAATTAAAATGCATTAGAATGCATTTGAAATTATACTCAAAAAAAAATTAAAAATTTTTAAAAACGAATTATATAATATATATTATTATATTCCAGATTAGTGATTACCGCTTGTTTTTACTTTTTTATTCTGCTAAATGCTATACATGTATGTATTTTTAAAATTTCTATTCACTTGAATGGTAAATAAAAGTGTAATTTTAAAAAAATGAATATTAAGACAAGGCAAATTCAAAAGAAGAATATTAAATACAATTATTTGACAAAAAGTTTAATATTTATTTATTCAAATATTTGAGTGTGTGTGTCTGTGTGTGTCCGGCTAAAAAACACAAAACTACAATAATTAATGTGTGTGTGTATCATTGACTTATTAATATTTTTCGGCTATTTTCAAAATAATTTTTTTTATTCAATCTTTAGAAAATAAACTTGTTTTTTTGTTTTTTTTAACTAACATAAAAAAGTAAATAATTTTCAAGTTTTATTAAAGCAAAAAACTATACCAGGTTTTATTTTTTCAAAAATTTAAATTCATAAAAAAAAAAACGAATATTCAACACGCAGTGATTAATGTTTTTACTTTTTAAATTACGTGTATGTATTTTAATTTTTATTTTACTAAAATATTTTTTTGAATTTTCAATTAAAAAATATTACTATTTGAAAAAGTTTAATTTTAGACATAATTGCTTTTCAAAAAAACACAAAAAACAATGTATTCTGCTTCTAATTCTTTTAACTTTTTCAAAATAGTAATTAATGTTTTTTGTTTTTTTTAACAAAAGTCAAACTTAATTAAAAAAAAAAAACTATACTAAATTCCATAAAAAAAAAAAGTACATAAATTTTTATTCCGTAAAAAAAAAAAAAAAAAAGTACATAATTATTTTTCGAAGAAGTAAGGCTTGCTATAGTTTTTGCTTCAAAAAATGATTAAATTAAATGTTTAAATATATCTTAAGTTTATTTACTTTTTCATTAATAATAATTTGAAAAAAAAGTTAACAAACTTTTATCTAAGTTTGATTTGTTTGAAAACAACATTAACAGAGTATTTATGTTAGTATTTAAATCGAAAAAAAAGTTTCTTTTTAAATAAAAATATGGGGATGCTCAGATCCCCAACCCTCCCAAGTGTGGTATCTTCCTAAATTTAGTTATTTTATAATGAAGCCAAAAAAAACAATGAAGTTTATTTTTTAAAGATTGAATAAAAAATTATTTTCCATAACATCAATAAATTGTCAATAATAAACTATTATTCAGAGATCTTCTGATCAACGCCGGGTATCCCCACTAGTGTGTGTGTGTATATATATATATATATATATATATATATATATATATATATATATATATATATAGCAGGAGAGAGAGAGGTAGCTCCAAAGAAAGGCAATACCTCAGCTTTAAAACACCATTTTAAAAAGGAAAACATCTTTCTTGAAGCTTTTATTATAGTTTTGATTCCACGCAAATAGATTAAATTTAATATTTACAATAAGCAAATTACTTTGCTGTATTTCAAACCAAATTTACAACTGACACAGGTAATATATATATAGTTATTAATATATACTTTATAGCTCTGTTACACTACACTGAGCACTGTTTTGATTACACCAAAAATTAGATATTTATTTGTAAATCTGTACATGAACATAATCACACACATGTATGGTTGCTCATATCTTTTTATTTTATATATATATATATATATTACAGTGTAACCCGGATATAAGAGAGTTGTCGGTACCGGAGAAGAAGTCTCTTATATCCGGTTTTGGTCTATTTTGTTTAGGTAAATATGGGAACACTTTAGGACCAGAGAAAATCTCTCTTATATCCGGGTTACGTGAAACATTTCAAATCATAATTCTGTTTTTTGCAAGTGAATATAGCATTAACAATTCATTTTTAGATTAACAATGATTTTTTTCCAGATACAATTCCCACTATTTAATAGTTGGAGGGAAGAAGAAGGCTTCATATCTCTCTTGAGGATATTTGTGTGAAAATAAGTGTAAATGAAGTAAATAATCATGAATAAATATTGAAAAAAAATGCTTAGAATAGAAAAGCATTTGATAATCCTGTTTAAATATTTTATGTTAAAAATTGTTTGCTTTCTGCACAAATTTCACGGTTGAGAGACCAAGTTTGCTAACTTCAACTTGTGCAAAATATATATATATATATATATATATATATATATATATATAAAATTCCAAATGGCAACTTACTTTCACTTCTTCTTTTGTCACATAACTGTAATTCCTATAGACAGTGTAGAAAGCAGGAATGAGGTGGTGACTGAAAATAAAAAAAGGAAAACCATTTTGAAACTGGAAGAAGCAAACCAGGGTTCATTTATTTGGGGTCGAGTGAAAAAGAACAAATTTTTCAGGCAATAAGAATAAAAGTCACTTTTGTTTTTAATTGTAGTTCTGATACTCACAATGTTTTATTATTATAGGAGGTCCACTAAATGTTATAGTTCTTTCTAATATTAATTCCTATAGTAAAATCATTTACAATGCATTCTTATGATTGGTTGATTAATTTTGTTTAGCAGTATATCAACCTCTGTAGGTTAATTAATGCTGAAATCCAAATATTTTTTACATAATTTTATACTTTCAGGGTAAAAGTATATTCTTCTTAGATATATAGTTTATAAATAATAAAATGTAAAAATGGTAATTTTACTATAAAAATGTCTTTTTATAATCTTGCATCGGTTGTCATTTTGCTATAAAATTTATTGTTGCTCATTTTATAAAAATGAGCTGTTGATTTTTGTTTGGGGTTTCCCTATAAGCCCATATCTGGGACCCTAACAGGTGCTACCACCTTGGGTCAAGATGGACCTGGGAACAACAGCAATCAAGAGATTGTTCCATACACCTCAAAACCTTCAATCTTGCAATTAGAGACCTTACTGCCAGATGTAATCAATTGTTATACCCAGGATGTATTTCTATGGTAAAATCATTTACATTGCATTCCTATAGTAATGATGAAATTATCTGTGTTGTTTTTTTTTTTTTTTTTTAATCATTTCACCCCAAGCAAGGTGATAAAGCCACTAAGATGCAAGGGGTTACTGAGGGTTAGATGTTGGTTGATTGATTTTGTTTAACAGCATAACAATATCTCTATGGATTATATAATGCTAAAATTCTATGGGATATTTAAATATTTTGAACACAATTCTATGGCTTCAACTAAATATACTTTGAATGCAATTGAGGCCTTCAGCTACAGATAAAATGTATTGTTGGTCATTTTGTTATAAAATGTATTGTCGATAATTCTACTATAAAATAAATTATTGGTCATTTTGCTTTAAAAATTTATTGTTGATTTTTTTTTTTTTAATAAAAATTTATTGCTTGTATTTCTATACTTTCATAGTGTTTTGTTTTTGTTTGGCTTCACTATTTGTCCATAGCTGGAACACTAACAGGAGCTACTACCCCAGGTCAGGATTGACCTAGGGTTGTAGCACAGCAATTGTGATTCCATGCTCCTCAAAACTTCCAATCTCCTGATCAGAGGCCATGATGCCAGATGTAGTTAATTAACACACCCAGGATAACTGAGTGTTAAAGAATATAAGAAAAAGGAAACATTATTAAGGAAAGAGAAGAATAAGAAAAGAATTAAGTAAACAGAAGATATCGATTGACACTGCATTTAATTTTTTGAAGATCAAACTTAACAGAAAGCAAGAAGCCAGAAGAGAGTTCCACAAGCAAAAATTGTGTGAGAACAATAGAAGATACTATTTTCATTATTTGGACTATTGTCCTCATCTTGTCGTCATTTTTATTACAACATTTCGGCTGTTGTACGCTCTGGCCTTCTTCAGATGGTTGGAATGTCGAACTGAAACCTTTATTTCGTTCACTGGCAGTGGAGAACTTGGAGAGGGGAATTAACAGGAGATAACTGACAACTGACTTCCATTAAACATGGCACATGGAACTAGAACAGTCTACCCCAAAAAGTTGAGAATGACATTAGAAGAGAAAGAATCATCATGCAACAGCAGTTAAAAAATCCTCGTTGCATATATGTTTTGCATACATGGCTTACTTAATTTAATTTTCATTAACATTACATAATTTTTTTCTTTTTCTTTAAAATAAATTCTGCTATATTTCACTCACCATTAGCTTATTTTTACTATAAAACATTGAAAATAAATGTTAAATCTGATTTCAGTTCTTTTATTTTAATCTAAATATAAGCCCTCATATCCGGACTTTGTAACCAATTCCTCAGATCTGGAAGGACTTTTTAGTTCAGTTGTCAAGGATTCTACTGTAGTTCTTTCTAATATTAATTCCTATAGTAAAATCATTTACAATGCATGTCTGTGGTAATGATGAAATTATCTGTTTTTATACAGGAACTGATTGGAGTTTATTGAGCAAGCATTTAAGCCTTACTTGAAATTAATTAACTCTTGTTATTAAAACAGTATTTCAAGAAATGTCAATAGATGTTGGTTTGACAGGAACATGTTTCTATCACTTTGCATCTTACTTTGTGTTTCCTTCATCCTGTTTAACTACAGCATTGTATTTCTCTTTGAATTTAGAAGCCGGCTCACCAAGTGGTACTTTCTCTTCATTTGCTCAGTTGATTTGTTTTTTGCTGTTTATCAACCTTTTTGAGTCAAAACATAGTTTTGGAATGTAAGAATTCTTTGGAGATGATAATGATTTTCTGATACACACCTTACTATTTAACCCATAGCTGAGAGGAAAAGATATAGATTCATACCTTTTCCCAAGGTTATTCGCATGTAAATGAATATAATGGAACCAACTGGAATTCAAACTTGGCTCTCTGATTTTTCATTCTGCATATTTATTCATTAAACCACCTGTACATCGAAACTTCATGTTCATCTTGATGGTTCTGAATGTTTTTTGAAACCAGAATCATATCTGTCTACACTATCAAATAAAGCCTATTGCCTACACTGAAATGCTAAGCACAGTGGTGAAATCCGCAACTGACAGGGTGGCCATACATATTCAGCAAAAAAATGCTCTTCTCTCTCTGACAGGACCTAAAAGCGTCGAGCTGAGAACGGCTTTAACTTCTCCTTTCTTTAGGTAAGCCTCTCTTCTTGTCCAAAGACTCTTTATTATTCACACATAAATTTATATTTAGATTGATTTCGGCTTTTGGGATTTCAGTCTATCAACCTTTTGCAGGTTATTTAAAGCCTGAAAATATTTTTAGATGGTAAGAATTTTTAGAGACAGTTATGATTTATTGATAAAAGTCCCTAATAAACCCATAGCTGGGTGGAGAAGAAGTTGATTCATACCTTTTTCGAAGGTATTTGCATAAAAGTGAATATAATGAACCCAACTGGAATTGGAACTTGGCTTTCCAATTCTGAGCAGTTATCCATTACATCACCTGCACATCCAAGCTTACAACGCCTTTTATTCCCAAACAGGTCAGTAACCATCTAGTTACTGATTCATTGCTTAACTTGCTTGATGATCTTACAGGAAGTGATGTTTCAATGTGATATGGCTGAAAGCCTTTGTCACTGTATGCCACTTGGGATATATTTTACCTTTTTAACAGAAGCAAAGGAATTGACCATTGATTTGAACTTGTTTTTATTGAATTTTAGCTGAGGAGGCAATAAAAACAAGTTGATCGAATTTTTTTACGACAACAGCAAGGTAAAAGAACATAAAAGATCTGAAGAGTTGCAATCAAAACACAAAGGAGTGTAACCCAAATTAACAAAAATCACAACATACGTCTGGTCTTTAATATTTGAATTGTTGATCTTCAAATCATAGAGGATAATATCAAACAGGATTCGACCAATCTGAAAAAATAAATACAATAATAATCATCAGGTATTTATTTTACTATTTTAAAACTGGAAAGAATTTTTTTTGTGCTACTTTCGCTTGTTATTTACGTGTCATGAATCTACTTTGGTGTGCAATCTACACTTTATATTGTCAACTACAACGAGATCTAAACCTAAACTTTTAATATTTTTACATTTTATTTATGTTATATATATATGCTATAACATGACATACTATGTCGATAGCATTCCAAAATAAAATTTGTACAGTGTAGATATTTTTCCTTGTAGATAATAGCAAAAGTCACAAATATTTTTTTTTTTTTTTTTTTTTGCAATTGTCATAAAAAAATTATTCAGTGATTAAAATGCGATTTGAACATGGCCAGCCTAGGAGAAAATGTTTCACTTTCTTGAAAAATATATCAAGAATTTTAGACAAGATATAAAACCAGGCATCATGGCATTGACTAGAATCAGAAACAAAAAAAAAAAAAAAAAAAAAAAAAAAAAAAAAAAAAAGAAAAGAAAAAACAAAATTGACCAAGTTTAGGTCACACTTTCATATGTTTAGTATAAACACGTTGATCAGAAAGAAAAAATGCGTGTGTGTGCATGTTCATATATAAGATAAAGATTTTTTTGATTGATTTGTCTGTTTAGTGGCATATCAATTCCTCATGGGTTATTTAATGCTGAAATTTCATTTTCTAGAGAGCTGTGAAGTAATAAAAAATATGATATTATTCTGCTTTCACAACTGAATATATGGTAGATGATACTCAGCTTTTGTACATATACATATTTGTGTCAACATGATTATTTGAGGTGGAGATATGCATTTTATGTTGTAGTTTTGTTGAAGTTATATTTTGGAACAGTTTGATTTCTTTAAAAAAAATTGTAGGATATTATGTGGATTAATGTCATGAAAGATCTTTTATGTTGGTGGCTTGGTAGTATTTTAAACAGATTTTGCTGAAGTTACTACAATTTGTTAGTATATGCGTATTGTTGGTAATTTTTTATATAAAAATGTATTGCTGGTATTTTTTATACTTTCATAGTGTTTGTGTTTTTTTTTTTGGTGGGATCACTATTTGCCCATAGCTGGGACCCTAACAGGTGCTACCACTCCTGGTTAAGATGAACCTAGGAACCACAATTAAGGGGTGGTTTCATGCTCCCCAAAGCATGCAATCTTCCAATCAGAGGCCTTGCAGCCGAATGTAGCTTATTGTCATACCCAGAACTAGAAAGAACAAATAGGAAATATTTATCAATCTAACATGTTTCACCTTTATTAAAGCTTCATCATAATAAAAGGAGAAACGTTAGATTGATAAATGTTTCCTATTTGTTCTTTATCTTACCATTCTGCCAGATTATGATCTATATTTCATCCCAACTTTTTATATATATATATATATATATATATATATATATATATTATAAATTAATTGACTTAAAATATGGTTTTTTCCGCTACACAGTTCTAACCATGTTTCAAAAATGGAAGCTAAAAGCTCAGAATTTAATTTTGTAATTAAATTAAAGACATTAGTTCCATTTCATCCTCAAGCAAATTTTGGAGTAACTTTTAAAATTACTGGGTTTTAAATACACAGCTAAAATCATAATTCATGTTTCCAAGGTTACAGATAAAACCACTTTCACTAGACTAGGGGTGTCTGCGTGTTCATTATGTCTATGTTTTGATGTATCAGTTATTTGCTATGGTTTGGAGGGGGTAGGGATGTATTTTTCAATAAAATCTAACATCCATTAAATGCATGTCGTCTGGATTTTAAAAAATTTTTTTTATTGTTGACGGCAAAAATTCTTACGCCATTTTTTTCCCTATTTTTTCATATTTAAAGATTTTTGGTGGGTGTTTAAGTTAGAATACATTTTATTTAACTACGATTTGAAATTTTTTCACTTTTAATTTTTAATATACTATATTTGTTTTAAGAACAATTAAATGTATTAGAATCCCTTACAGTATGTAGAATTATTTTCACTTCAAGTATAAGTATGTATGTTATTAGGTTACAAATTTTTTTTTTTTTTTTTTAATTATTATTTAAGTAAAATTTATGACCATCACGGAAAAAATAGCTACTTACTTTCACTGATTTAGTAAACTTATTTTTTATATAAACCTAGTGATATATTGTTTCTCATGTAAGTACAAAGGACATGGGTCATTCAAAAGTTTACATCTTCTAGCATTTCATATTAATTTCATTTTACTGTGAGTGTTTTATTGGATTCTTTTAAGTTCATGTAGTAATAATATATAAAAGCTCTACATGTTATTTTTACTTTTATTTTCTCACACATGTATTACTGTCACGTGTAGAGATATTATTATTATTGCTGTGTTGACGGATTCAACAATTTTCTTTTGATTTCATGATATTGTTGTGTACGTTTGTTTGGGAGAGTAATAATCCTGTTAAGAAAGGTGAAATAGGGAAAAAGCCAGGCCGTAGATTAATATTTGGGTAATATTTAATGGTGGCACTCCACACATGACAGCAATTGACGTAATTTTCAGTTAACAGTATAAAAATAGTGCCCTCTAAATTCTTCCAGTTTGCTAAGGACATTTTGTTTTGTTGTTATTATTAGTTACTTTGTTTAATAAATTCATTTCGTTTTTTTTTTTTTTGCCTTGAAAAAGTCCACATTGACAAAACGTGTTGGCAACTATTACAATTTTCCTATTGTCTTTTACATTTATAAATATTGTCTTTTTGTACAGGTTAACTCTGAGAAATTTTTCATATATATATATATATATATATATATATATATATATATAAAATATATATGTGAAAAATAATGAATTGAGAAGAAAAACTTAAAGAACCATTTTGGTTATAATTTATTTCATGAATATTTCTATATATTCATCTCTTCAGACCGAAAGCTCTTAATTTCCCTGGATTGATATCCTAGATTGACAGAGGGAAGGGAAAGCAAGAGAGAAGAAAAGAAAAGAGAGAGAGGAAGAAAGAAAAATAACAGATTATTATAAAGTTCTTTTTAAAACATGAAAGAGAGGGGGAGAGGGTAAAGAAAAGGAAGAAGGAAGAAAGGAAAGGATAATAGTAAAACTAAAATAGAATGACATGGCCAAGAATTTTTTTCTTTAAAATGTGAAACTTTGGACATCAGGAGACAAAGGAAATTGAATGATATGGCTTGTTATTTTATGCAGGACAAATAAACAAAATTTCAAATTAGTTAGCCTATTAAAGAAGACCCTAATGGAATAAAATAATAAATATAATAATCATAATAATATCAGTCATAAATGAAGGGATTTTAAATAAAGAATGATAAAAAATAAAATATGGAAAAATATAAGTAAAATGATGTATAGATAATAATACTAAACATGTTAATTTAGAATTATAGATGATGTATACATTGGCAAGACAATCATACATCCAATTACATATAAAAAACGCCAATGTGTGCCATACACAATACACACACACACACACTATATATATATATATATATATAATAATAATAATGGACTCTCCTATCGGTTTCGATGTATGAGGATCTGACAGCTTACTTGATTCAGTTATGAAATTTTGTGCGATAATCTTAAGTGGTATTTAAGACCCGCTAGTGATTTACAAAGGAGGCCACATATGTATGAGGATTGTGAGATCACTGTTAGATTGGCTGACCTTTTAGATCTTGCTCTCGCTTCTTAAAGATGATTCAGACAAGAAAATTGAAAATTGCTGAGTCCACTAAAACATGTTGATCTCCATTCCACCCACTCCAAGGCTAAGTGCTCAAGGGTGTTAGGTGGTATATTGATTGCTGACAAGTTGCTTTTCAGCTTGTCTTTATATCTTAGCCATGGGCGTCCTACATTCCTATAGCCCTGATCTAACTGGCTGTACATTAGGATCTTGGGTATCCTGTCATCAGATATTCTCAAGATATGAGCAGTCCAACGTAACTGAGACTGTATGAGAAAAGTCTCGATTCCTCCAATATTACACCTGTTAAAAAGGTCTACGTTAGATGTCCTATCTTTATCTTGAAGCCTAACTCCACAGATTGCACAAAAGACAACTTTTTTTCTTTATGAAAAACATCTAGCTGAAAGCGATATGGTTATCTGTATGGAGTCCAACCATAGGTGAAAGACTCTGGTTTATCCTGCAAAGTCAATGCCATACAAAACTGGATGGCATTTTGTACAACAGCTCTGTAAACCCATGGAAGCCAATTTTCATATCTAAAAAAGAAAATTTTTATTAATAATATATTTTTTCTCCATCTTATTATTGATGCTTTTTATCCCATATTCTCCACAATTCAATTATTTTATTACTAGTTTCATTCCATCTTTTATTGATTCTTTTTAAATCCTTTGGTAGCCTTTCATTATTCAATCTGATGCATTGTTGATTTTTTTATCCTATCTAAAGTTCCACTAGTTTCAATTTATTATTGATGCTTTTTATCCCAATTTGCTACCAAGATTATTTTTAAAGTTTCATTCCATTTATTATTGATGCTCCCAGGGTTTTCATTATTCTTCTAGTTTCTTTCAATGGTCTCTCTGGAAATTTGTTATTTTACTGGTGGTTTTTGATGCTTTTTATCCCAATCACCACAGAATTTTTTATCCCAATCCTCTGGGCCAGATCCACTCTTCATTCCTATTAGTTTATTACTAGTTTCACAAGTTTTTATCCCAATCCTCTGGACAGATCCACTATTATTCTTTAGTTTTTCCATTTATTATTGATGCTATCCCAATCCTAAAGACCAAATTATTCCTTTTATTTTATTACAGTTTCATTCCATCTTATTATTGATGAAATCCTCTGATTTTCATTATTAGACTTATTATTGATGTATATATATATATATATATATATATATATATATATATATATATATATATATATTTCATTCCATCTTATTATTGAATACATGTACCCATATATGGCTAACAATCCATATTA